CCACGCAGTGTGTGTGTGTGTGTGTGTGTATGTGTGAAACTCACACATGTGTGCATGTTACAGCACAGGCATGTTACTCATCGGTGCGTGTGTTACATCACAGGGCTTGTGGCTCACACGTGTGTTAGAGCACGGGTGTGTACAGATGTGTGTGTGTGTCCCAGCAGAGCGTGTGCGTCTCAGCTGTGCGTGCGCTGCAGTGTGGAGCGTGTTTCTAGCACGGGGAGTCACAGGTGCCTGTGCCCAGCTCGGGCACGTTTGGAGGTCAGGGTTCGATTCCCGGTCAGGGCACAGGCCCGGGTTGCGGGTTCCATCCCCAGTGTGGGGCGAGCAGGAGGCAGCCAATCCATGACTCTCTCATCATTGGTGTTTCTCCCTCCCTCTCCCTTCCTCCCTGAAACCAATAGAAATCTATTAAAACACATCTCCTTTCTCCCCCACAGGGAAGGCACAGGGTCCCGGGAGCAGCAGCTGCCCGGGAGCCGAGGCCCGGGGCCTAAAGCTGCAGAGTCGGGGGGAGTCTGGATCCAAGGCCTGCGCCCCCACCAGCCTCTGACCACCCTCGTGGGCCTTGGGTTGACCCTCACAGGTCACCGAGTCTCCACTGTCCCTCCCCCTCCCTGTGTCCAGTGGGCCAGGTCCCACGGTCTTGGCCAGGGCTGCTGCTCACAGCGCCCACGCGTGGGAACGTGAATGCCAATCCCGCAGCCCTCCCTCCACAGACCCGGCGCCCCCTCCACATACCAGAGGGTCCCCTCTCAGCCACGGCAAACCAACCCCACGAGGTCCTCCACTCGGTACTTTCCACGACTCCTCATCGACGACCTCATAAAACCGCCTCCACAGGGAGGGACGGAAGCCCCTAGGATCGGACCCTCGTCTGCATTCCAGCCCCCTTCCTCACACTGAGGGTACGTACAGCCCCCAAACCGGGAAGGCACCGGCTTTCTGTCCCCCTGCCTTTGCAGACAGGGTTCCCTCTGCCCAGAGGGCTCTTCCACTCGCCCTGCCCACGCCACGCTGCCTGTGAACTCCTACCCATGCTGCAGCGGCCAGCGTGAAAAACCCACCGACTTGGTGCCGTCTCCCTGACTTCCAGGGAGAAGCGCTGGCCCCTGTGAGGAGCACACGCGTGAGGAAGGCAGACACGGGGTCTTGGGAAAGGAAGGCCACGTGAGAAACTGCAACAGGAGTGACAGGCGATGGGACAGCGAGGTGCGAGGTGCCAGGCACTCAGAGGGCAGGACGCAGAGGATTGGGGGAGTCACGAGAGTGGCTAAGTGGGGCCCCGACAGAAGAAACAGGGGAGCCTGGTCCTCCCCCTGCGGGGCTCTGGGCAGAGCAGGCTCGGTCCGCGGTGCTGGTGGGTGGACGATGCTGCCCGAGGCCTCCTGGCATACACCTACCTCTCCACTCCCCGCTCTGGCCACCGCCCACGGCGTCCCTCCTCTCACTTCCTGCCTGGCTGGTCCCAAAAAATTCCAGGAAAGAGCAAAACTCCAAAGGCAGAAACCTGCTCATTCCATGTCCTTCCATGGACCCTCTGCGCTTGCCCACGCTGAGTCTTTAATCCCCAATGCCGTGCAGCCCACAGAATGCAAACGCTGGGATCATCTCTGGAAGGATCTAGAAACCCCGGCCCTGGCAGCGACTGTCAGGCCACGACACGGAGAAAAGGTCAGGGCCCAGGCGTGGGCAGAGGCGACTCTCCGCTCGTCGCTCCTGGGAGGAGCGGTTGTGTGGACGGCACTTAACTGCCCGGCGCTCGGCTTCCTGTTCCGTGACAAGGTGACAGTGACCTTTCTGGCAGATAAAATTGAGGGGTTGGACTAGAGGACCTCTCAAGTCCCCGCCAGGACTCTCACGATCCCAGGACGAGACGCCTGCCTTAGGTCTGCGGTTAGGGTTTGGATCCTGAATGCGGGGGAAACGCCCTACCTGAGCTGCGACCCTGCGGCACCTGGGAGGGCCTGGCAGAGGCGAACCAGGCTCCGAAACCCTGAATTACAAGGACGCGCCTCCACCTCTGCATCCCCCGCCGCCATCACTAACACAGGACCTCCTGGCCAGGGGCGGTAAAACGCAGACATCACGGCACGTGGGACACCCAGCTAGTTAACCACCCAGACACCTCTCCTGGGAGCAAAGATTCCGGTGGCTTCTGTCCATCACTGTCAACTCTCGCAATCAATGAGGGAGTCCGTTTAGGCGGGACTTGCTACCCTCTCGGATGAGTCAAAGGGAATATGAAATCAGGAGAGGAACCAAATGTTCTCCTTAATTAACATTCCAGGGAGCAAAATCAACCCCCAGCCCCCCAATCTGTCCTCTATCGAGCGACAACAGTAAAAATGCAAAAAAGCATTTGCTCCCTCTGTGGAGGGAGGGCTGCGGGATGGGCATTCACGTTCCCACGAGGGGGCGCTGTGAGCAGCAGCCCTGACCGAGACCGTGGGGACCTTGCCCACTGGACAGCCGACACGCTGACATGGGCGGCAGGGCCCCTCCGTCCAGCAGCGCAGGGATGGAAGGGAACGTCAGTCCCGGGGAAGCGGAGAGCAAGCACAAAAGGCAGAAACAAAAGCCTCGTTAATCCGGCAGCAGGGCCCCAGCTCCAGGTGAGGCGGCGAGATCTCCTTCCTCCGAGGGGCCCCCTGGTGGACTGGCTCACCGCGTTCCTTCAATCTGCAGCATTTAAAAGGCGTTGCACTGAGAGCGGAGAGTCCTGTGACTACCCGGAGCCTCAGGGCTTACACATGAGAAGGGAGAGATGCAGATGGCTCCATTTTTACCAAAACGTTTCAAAATACGGACAGAACGTGAAGAATCTGGAACCACAGGCCAGATCGCTTCTTGCAGGCGGTATTGCTCTGTGCCGAGCCAGGGGACGCCGGGCCTCCCTGGGGTGCCAGGACCTTTCCGGGGTGCCCAGCTCCTTCCGGTTCCAGGCGTGTTTCAACCCATAAGTGCACCCCAGAGCCCCTGCGTGCGCGCCCTTTCCCGGCACAGAGCTGGCCGTGTGCGCTCCAAGAAGAGCCCACTTACGATGGCCCGACGGTCACTTACACAGAGAGCCTGCCACCGACAGAGGAAAGGGAAGACACACATCTCAACCGGGAGGAACAAAGGAAAAAGCGATTCCAGCAACAAGCCTTTGGCTCCTGACCGACCGGGCCAGAGAGACGCCTGTGGGGGAGGCCCGGCCCGGTGGGCCCTGTGCGCCCAGGTGTCTGAACACCCGGCC